AGTTGTAGTTAGTGATGAGTTGGCCAACTCATCACTAACTACAACTCTTACACGTTGTTCTAACAACGTTAAGACGGCTTATCGACTTCTTGAGAAGAATTCTAAGAAGAAAGTAAACCTACAGACATCGGTCTTGTTTAACAAAATATTTACCTATCTAAACATAAATGTATAACAATAGGAAACCTTTACTTACTCCATACTCAGGCTTGAAAAACCCCATCTTCTCCCACCAGGAGTACCAAGCAGCCTCAACATATTTTGGACTGTAAGTTTCAGGCATTGTACCAGACACATCTGAAAACACCATTATTACTTTTATGTATTTAAATATAACATTTTAACACACATACAAATATCTTTTGTTAAATAAAAGTAAAAAAACATTTCAACCAAGGCTGGGATGATGCATTAAAAAATAATCTACAAATATACAAGTACTGGATGCAATTGTATGAAAATTTGAGATGAACAAAGCCATACTGGGCTTTCTGCTGTGTCCATCACGGGGAATCGAACCCTGGATTTTTGCATTTTTGTGAATCAACATTAAAGTTTTTGACAAAGTTTAGTTCCACTATTTACAGAACAATACAAAGTTCTATGGATACAAGTTTTGACATGTTCTTCGGTTATTTTATAAATAGAATTATTAAATCTTTCTGCTTCAACTGCACTAATATACCAAACTTTATCATTAGTGTAAAAACTAGTCATTTAGATAGAGAGCTAACTAAAAAGATACTCAACATAACTTACAAATTAAACAAAGTATGCAAAAGTAGCCACAATAAAACAGAATTACAGATTTAATATATTTTTATTGAAAAATAAAACTTTACACTAACTAGTAGGTTTGAGAATTTTAAGATTTCAACTGCAGTTGCTGTCCATTAATATTCCTAAACCTACTATGTTGTCCTTTAACATTATGTTACCCTGCCTGAAGTTCCAATTATTTCAGAGCTGACCAGATAATGTGAAACTGAAATTTGGTTCTAGGCCATAACAACTGCATTTTTAGTTATACAGTTGAGTTAACAATGATGATACAGTGCCCTAAGTGCAAAAAGAACTTATCATTTCTAATAGTGGGCATTTTTATGCTCAATATCCAAATACATTTTACCAACCAGCATGTGATTGTTGTATCAGAATGTTTTCAGTAAGAGATGACATTTCACTTTCAACCTGTTATTAATATGCTGAAACAAAATACAAAGAATGCTTCATTACACTACTTTTGGAAATCATGTCAAGAGCACAACCAGCAATATAAGGTAGATGATCCCCCCCCCTCAAAACTGGACTTTTTTTTAGCTACACAAAGAATTTAATTGATTTACATAAAAGTCAAGGGTTTACTTAAAAAACACAGAAGATAATGGATCTTTTAGACTCTTTAGAATTTTAGAGTGGTCTTTGATATCACCACACGCACACTGGCTATGCCCTGCATGTGAAAACTGGTTATATTTAATTGGTATATCACAAGTAAACAGACAATGGATAACTTAAAAGTTTAAAGCCAAAAGACTGCTGCTGGTTCAAGAAAAGTGGGAAATTGTGTAATAATAATAAAAAGTGAAAAATCAATTTCAAGAATATAAATCCTTCACTTTTTCTAGTTATTTGTTTTCTAACAATTCATAAGTACTTAAAGAACAAAACAGTGCCAAACTTGCAATATATTTATTTATAACTGAAATATATACAAAGTTTCTGACCTGAAGAATACAAATACTGGACCACTTGTATACAGGATGTGTTATCAAATCATCTAAATAGTTGCTGGTAGAGTATTCAAAAATAAAAGCATAAAACTAGGTATCAAGTGTTATTAGAAACATAAGCATGAATATTGAATAAGCAATAAATTAAAATGCCCTATATTTTTAATTTACACATCTTCATTACTTGAATAGAAAATACTTAATCCTTTGATATATATGTGATGAGTTGCCTTATCTCTCTCACTCTGGTCAGCAGTTCAAAATTAGGTATGGTAGTTGATATCTTTAGTGAATTTGAAATTACTCAAATAAATTGCTAAGCTTCAGCTACATACAAATTGAACTGACACATGACACACTAGCTAGTACTTGTCAGGCAGGAGTGAAATTCTGCTGGTACTCAAAGGAGCACCAGAACATATTTATTAAGGTGGTACTAGTATGCATATGCATTCCATTCTTCTGTCAGAAAGCATTTATTCATTGACACTCAAACTGTTGTTTTTTATGCTTAAACATAAGACTTCTTTTTCTTTTTCAAAAACAAGTCCATTTCACCAAGCTGAGTATCTCTACTTTTTTTTGTGAGAATTTTACCCCTGATCTCATGGCATATTACTCATGCCTTCTGCTTGTGAGGGTTATGGCCTAGTGGTCACTGGTTAAACAACTAGCCACACTGTTTGTGATTACCTTGCTTGGACTAAACAACATCGTAGCTTTAACTTAATATATTTCTTACTAAGGGAGTGGCTTGAGGAGCTCTAGCCATTTCCTTAACCATAAACTTTTAAAATTTGTGCAAGAAATATATACTACAAAAAAGTTATATTTAGATGGTTAAATACTTCTCTCTAATCTGAAATACTTTAAAAAATAAGAAATACAAGTTAACATTTTCCTAAATTGAAAATATAATTCCAATAGCTATTATTCAACTGCCAGGGTTTCTTCCTTTGCCCATCTAAGCGTTGATCTTATTTTTTCTTGCTTACTCCAGTACACCTCTTAATTGCCATTAGCAATATTTGTCTCGTGACACTCTCCACCTGACAGTGCACCCTCTATACTGGTACTATATGAAAGCACCTCATTCACATAATGTTACCACTTTTTTTTAGACTGACTTAATCCTCAATCTCTAACACTGGCTCTTAGTGGGGAGGAAGGGTGGGAGAGTGTGTGACAAGGGGTAATTATTATTGTAAATACATTTTTAATTTACATATCTCTGCATAGATCATGGGTGTGTCAATAGAAGACTGGCGCTCTAGTGGGGGAACCACACTACATCCAGAACGGGTATGCTCTTCACCCTGAACTTAATTTCTGTATCATGGGTGGAATTGTACACGAGTGATCATCACTATAGGCCAGCTCCAACAAGATAGCCAATGTCAATGCACCCTCTATCCTGATACTGTATAACTTTTTGAGATTGACTCAATCCTCAGTCTCTAACACCAGCTGCTATCTCACGGTTCAAATTAAGGGGGTTTAGTCCCTATATCTCACGTTGGTGGCTAGAGCAATTGGTCTGCAACATTATATACATGAGTGGATCCTAACCTGTAGCCAACAGAAATCACGTCAAGAAAGTAAACAACACTGTAATGGACAAACCTTCTCCTCCACCTGAAGAAGCCCAAAGGGAACACCATATCAATTATGCCTTACTCAACCAAAGGAAACAGAATTCATCCGGTCTGGAATTGCGAACATTCGTCCTCACTCCCCAACTTTGTGGACAAGGTACATTCCACTTGCCCCTGGAATTATGGGGAGGACGTGGAACAACTGTGCTCAATAAGGACCCAGGATGGAACCAGTCTGCATTCAGAATTATGAGGAGATAGTGGACCCTCTTCCATAAACAATGTACAGAATCTATATTGATCAAACAGAAAGGCTATGCACACCCCAACCGGATAGCGGAGTGTCAAATCTGAACAAGTATTACGCGTAGGCTCCCATGTAGACTGGTGCCACTCCTACTGACATCTGGAAAAAATATCCAAAGACCTGGGTAGGAGGGCCCCCAACTTCACCCTCTTCTCCAAGAGTGGAGGAAGTTACTAACACTCATTAGGAAAAGCCTCTGTCCCCAACCCCAGTAACTAGAAACTGGGTGTAGTAAGGACTCCCTAGCTCCAGTAGTAGAATCTGGGGGATAATGTGCACTGGGGAGTCCTGAGAAATAATGCTCTGGAAACAATGCAATAGATGAACCAAGTTCCCTAAATTTTTAAAAGCAAACCAACCCCAATTTATTTAATCTGATAATTGGCAGGGATGCACATAGTCCATGGGTGGCAGTCCAGCATGGTACTGAATACCATCTGGTCAGCTCCTAGGTGGTCTTATGGAACACCTCATTTCTAGATCCTTTTTCAACCTGGATAAAGTATATTGAAATAGAGATTGCTAGTGCAGAATTAGTTTGATAAAACCACACCTGCCTGGGCAACACTTGCCACAAAGTGGGATCCTGTGAAAATGAGGTAAGGACCCTGAAAGGTAAAGAAGAGACAAGCGTAGCAATGAAAATACCCCTCTGTATAATCTAGCAGAAGTGGTTAAGATAGTTACAGAGGGTGGTCAAATACCCTCAGGTGAAGATACTGCCAGATAAAAGTTTTGGGGAAGGTCCACATACCAGCCCACATGTCCTCCAGCAGGCAATTTAAACAGGCTGCTAAGGACATAGAAATGTGACTAATCTGATTAGACATGACTTGCAGAAGATTCTTTACCCTCAAAGAGAGCCCAAAATAAGCAATATGGAACAATTTCATACCCACCTTGTCAATGGGGGTGAATTCTGGGAAACCGAATGATCCCAATGAATAAAATGTCATTGCCTACCCACTCTAAAAGCATTAGTGTGGGCAACAAAACCTTCAAGACCCCTCACTGAACAGAACAAATAAACGAAAACCTGATTGGTCAGAGAAGCGAGAAATAGTGATCAGATGAACTGATGAAAAGGATTTATCCCCTTCTGTAGCTGACAGTGTAGTTGGGAAGAAGAACTGGTCTGAGGACGTAGGTACAACGACAAAGCATTCTATGGACAATCTGACAAACCACTTTAACCGACGATGTCGTTAGGTTAGCAGCCATGAAAAATAAACCTTCTGGTAACAGTGATACATGACATATGATAAGGTTACAAATGGGTGTTGAGAAAGGGCATGTAATGTAATCTTAATATACCAATTAGGTAACTAGAATGATTGTTTGGGACAAAGGACCCAAAGCAACTTGAGAAAGCCCGAGAGTACTGGGAACTCAAAGAAGTTTTGTCTTGTGTATCTATCAGTAGTCAACAAGGCCACCACATACAGGATGATTGTGGAAGATGCAAAACCCTTGCCAAAGAGTCAGGTCAAAAAACAAGTTATGGTTGGCACATTTGAGGAAAGTGGGTACAACCTCCTTTCAATACACCATTGCTAAAATGTGTACCATTTCTGTTAAAAAATATCCATCGTGGGACTAAGCAAAGCCTGAGACAGATAAATGGCACCCATAGAAATCAAACCCTGATGCTGTACAAATAAC